ATTGTCAAGAAAATATTTATAGTGAACGTAAAAAGTCAAAAAAAGGATTTTTAGCAAAACAAGCAGAGAAAATGATGAAACTTTCTAAAGTAAAATTTCCTCAGCTTGAAGTAGGAATAATATAACTGTACGTATAACTTTAACTTTATGGAGCTAGTAGTTTTTCATGAAATATACTAGCAATTGTAATCTTTGTTGAACATGACTTAAACTAACTCTATAAATTAAACTTTTGATAAAAAATATATTATTAAAAATTAAAATTATTTTTTCTTATAGGTATGGACAATTGTTTTTCTTAAATATAATTACAAATAGCTTACGCTAAAAAATAGGTGTTTGCAAAGAAAATCTTTTATAGACATAGACATGAACAATTATAACCAAATTATTCGATAATAGACAGTGACATTGAAGCAGTTGGTAATAATTCTGTTGTGGTTCCTCAAGTGTACTAGCACTGCTATTGAAAGACTAAACGCAAAAATAAACGTACGATATCTGTCGCAGGGTCGAAAAGTTGTGTATTAGAAAATTTATCGAAAGAACAACTTATAAAAATTAATAAATATTAATAATAATACATTTTTGTTCTTTTTAAAAATACTGACACTATTTCTCAATTAATAATATCTAAGATTCACATGTATATCTGTTCTATCAAAAATTATCCGTATAATATGTATTTGGTTATTATCGTTATTTACTAGAAAATACGATTATTTTTAAAATGTTTACCTCTTTTAATAACTTTATATTTCGTTTAAAGTTATTTGCCATTGCATACACATTACATTAGTATATTGTTATTAATTCGCTTGCAGATGTCCTAATAACTATAATAGTTTGTTCACTTATTTTATTTATTTATTTTTTTTTTTAAGCTAAGATTTTAAGGGACCTGGTTGACTATGAAAATAATTAACGTTGAAGAGAACGAATTAATTTTATATTAACTACAATCATTTTGGTGATAACGATTATAATTAAATTAATAGTAATTTGAAAATATTTTGATTATTAAATATACATGCAATAAAAGAAGAATAACTAAAATGTAAATCACAATCAAAAAAAAGCACTTTATACTTTTTGCAGACTTACATTTAAGAGAACGCCACAATATTAGTATTTCATTTCTTTTCTTACACAGTGAGTAACATACAACAGACACATATTAAATATATAGTTTTGTTAAAGCAAACATTACTGTAAATTTACATATTATTATTTTATTTATAATGGAGAATATTAACTCTGTATTGGTGAAGAATTTTAAACATATTTAAATTTTAAAATGAGTTATAAAATAATACACAGCTAGTCCACTAATTGATATTTTTCATTAAAAAAAAAAAATTATAAATAATAATAATACATTTTTGATTCGTTTTCAAAATAAGATATTTAAATTTAACGCTAGAGACTTTCAGGTAATAAGATTAGCTAAGAAATTTCCTTGTAAGTATTTAAGTATACTATAAATAATACAACTAATATGTATATATAACAATTTTATTTGCTATTGCGACGAAGCCGACGATAAAGTCTTGATGTTTGAAGAGGATTGTGTGACTAATGCCTATTGACAATATATTTAATACGCTTTTAAGTTTTAACTGATTATATAAATATAATATAATTTAAAAAAGAAAACTAAAGTTTATTATAATTTAATGATTAATATAATATGAATTTTAATGTTGATAACTATTTATTTCAAACTCTCCAGGGTCCATATTATTATGCAGTTTTGAATCAGACAATTACTTTCTTATAGGTAGCAAATGAGTTTTGCGTAAGTATTGCAATGTGGATTATTTTTATACATTTCTAAATAATGTTATTGATTAGCAATCAGTTAAACAGTAATACTATTTTATTGATAACTTATCTCTCCAGATCTGTGCACATTATAAACTTATAAATAATTAAACAACATAATAATATGTCTGTGGTGTATAACGAAGTGCATAATATTATTGTTGTCAACGATCCATGATGATCATCAGCTATGCAGTTATCGGTCACACGTGTGTACATATAATTGGTAATATATAAAAATAGAATAATATTACCATAGATAGCCTGAAATTGGATATATTTTTTACTCGCAGTATTATAGAATTGAAATTTGACAATTTTTTAAATTTTAAGTAGATACTGCATAGGTTGTGATTTATAGAGAAGAAAATACCTAACATTATTTGTTTTAAATTATAAAAAAAAAAATGCGTGTTTTGCAGGAAATTTTGTTATGATATTAGAATTACTTTATCTATAATATATAAATAATATATATGAAACGATTTTTTCTATTAGTTCTATCATATTACATAATAATATGTTCATAATCAATCTAAAAATGTTTTTTTTTAAATCATAAAGACTTTTAATAACTAATAAGGCAAGAATTAATAACTATACGGTTTATTTATATATTAAAATGTGTTAACAGTTTATTTATCAATACAATGAAAATATTTAAAGTTGTTATTCTTAGTAGTTATATAGTATAAAAAATAATGAATTTTATTTTTGTGAAGAAAACTTTGTTTAAAATATTAATAATAATTATAATATTGCGATTAGCAACACGTAGTTTTTAGTAAACAATCCAAGACATTTAAGTTTAACAATAGTTTAAAAAATAAAAGTATTTGATGAACTAAATTATATTTAATATTTTCTTTTAGATTCTAAACGGAGTGATGAATTTATTGATTTTACAATGATGTGTGTTTTTTTTTTTTGTGTCTGTGTACAGCATAAGTAAACAAATAATGCTTCAATTTCAAATTTCGGGGGTGGTTTCCGATGGCAAAGTGAATATCCTTGGTGCATTATAGAGGTAAAAAGTAAACATTTTCCAACAGTTTTCAAAAAAATCGAGAAAAACAAAAAAAAAATGACAGAAAACGGGAATTTTTACACAAAACCAGTTTTCGACCAAATCGATTTTTTTATATGGTTGTTATTCAAAAACTAATCACTGTAAATACTTGAAATTTTCACCAAATGTTTATGTTAGTGTTATCTATATACAGTTTAATTTTCAAAAACTTCTGACTTTTTTTGAGTTATTTATAGACCACTAGTATTATCGATTTTTATGAGAATTTTTTTTTTGAAGAGTCGATAAAAAAAATGTTGGATGACCAAAAAATTTTGAAAATTTAAAACAAGGTTCCTTATGAGTTGTTTTTATTGTAGCTAAAAAAAATTAAAAATCGTTAATCACAATTTTTTTTTTATAAACGTTTATAGTTCAAATATTTACGAAATCTATCGAAAACGCGAAAATTTGTAAATAATTTTTAAGTTGAAAAATTATAAAAATTTTTGTAAGTTTTCTTTCAAGTAGCTATAGCAAAAACTCAAAGCATCATTATAGGAAAAATTTTAATTGCGTTTGAATTTTAAATTTTTACGAAATAACGTAGGTTAGCGATTTATCCTCAAACGATTTTATATATTTGTTAATTAAAAAGTATAAGTCGTAGATACTTGAAAATTTTACCAGTTATTTAGATTGGCATTTTCTTTACATGATTTAATTTTAAAAATATTTTGACTTTTTTTGAGCTATTTATAGATAACTAAAATTTTCAATTTTTCTGAAAATTTTTTTTTGAAGTGTCAATATAATATTTTTGGCCCAATCAAAATACTTGAACATTTAATACAAAGTTTTTCATAAGTTATTCTTATAGTGATCAAAAAATTTTAAGAATACATAGGCACAATTTTTTTTTATTAGCATTTGAAGTTCAAATATTGACAAAAATTCGTCAAAACCATGAATATTTGCGTACTATTTTGTAGGTATAATTCATAAAAATTAATAATTAATTGATTAACCATGACTTTTGCAAATGCATCCTAATTGAAAAATAAAATATTTGTTTCAAAATAGAATGTATGACAATATTTAATTATAATATATTCTAGACTGACAAATCATCTCCATTCAAAATCGTATTTCGTATACAATGATACCTATTATTACATTCAAATTTAACCTACAACAAACATTTATCACTTAAGAGGGACGTCCGTTGTTATAATACTAAAATTAATATAAAAATAAATGGCAGCAAAAATACTTACCTATGTATAAATACATTATTGTAATTTAATATATAGCTTGGAAATTGTATGATATAATATTGTATCGTCCTAATTCAGAACTTTTAATTTTTCAATTACATCGCAGATTTTTCCTCCTGATCACCCATCCGAATCACATAATAAACACGTTTATATTTTCATGAGCTATCACAATTGATTATTATTATTGTTATCAGCGGTTATATTTTTTACCTCCACGTTCTTTGTCTTCTACAATATTTTTATCTATAAGAGCACACCAGTTGTGGGCAGTGGCTTATACTATACATAAATTTGATAGAATTCATTATTTTTTGAATGCAGTTTATTTACAGTTATCGCTGTACTATAATAATTTAAGTCTATTGATATGAAAAAAAATCTTTAATTAAATAATGGATATACGCTAGATTTTTTTTTTTTATATACTTACGTATGAAATGAAAGTAACTTAGAACAAATATTTTTTATAAAGAAATCAGAAAGTTTGAATCGACCAACAAAATATCCGAACATTATATAATGTTATACCAAATGGAATGAGAACCCTTAAACAAAAATATAAAGTGATCTTTTTTATCTCTACTCTTTCTCTCACTACACAACATAAGTAAATACGCTACTAGTACTTATTACTAAGTAACAAAATAATATAATACTATATAGGATAATACAAATCTGTAGACCTAAGTGAATATTTACACGTTACATACACACACACACACACACACACACACACACATTATATATTAAATTCATCATATTCGAATATTCGTGTCAACTGTATAGCTGCAGGGACGCAGGGTATCGTGGGCGCATGCCTATGCGCGCAACGTACAACCCCGAGACCATGTGCTCGAGTCCACCGAGTTTTCGAAAGCCGCCTGCTGCAGTCGTAACATTTCCACCGGTCGTGCGCCAGTGTAATCCACTCGTGACCAAAGTGTCGATCGTCGTCGTGATCTAAGTAATACTATTATTACTTCCGTTCAATAAAATTTTTTTCACCGTCGATTTCGTTATCCACGTTCTTCTGTTGCAGAAAACGCATTTTCAATGGAAGAATTCAACGAGGTTTGACCTTTTTTTTAATGATACACAGTATATTATATAGGTATAAGAATATTGCAGTGCATCCTATCGATAGCGTCTAACTGTTATAATTTCACATGACAACTGCAGTCTGCATGAGAGCAATTTTTTTTTTTAATACAAAAAAAAAAAAAAAATTAAGTTTGCTCAATTGATTTAATAATAGACACGTGTGGAAAAATTTTTTACTGCAGTTTTCTAATTTTGAAACTCAAATATACGAAAAACAATAGATATTATATGCTATTTGTTGATAATTTTACAGTATTTTTTTAATTTTTTAATTTATTAAATTAATTAATGTATTGCCGTTTGTCATTATATCATAATATAATATACAATTAAAACAATAATTCAATAAAGTTAAAAATTACATTGTTATTTTTTACCTATTTTATTTTATATTTTTTCGTATCTACGATTTTTTTAAATGAAGTTTAAGAAAATATTTTATTTTTTAGTGCGTCCATCAAAAAAGTTTACGAACCATCGTGGCTTTTGCACGAAATAAGTATAGAGCACTTATTGTTTTTCTCTCGTGTTAGTTGTCTGTGTATTGTGAGATTTTATCTCATGCCTCAGATATGTACACTATTTTTTGCATATACTCGTAATTCAAAGTTTACCATTAATTAATATATTTTGTAAGATTCTTGATATCTTGATATATTTTTTATATGTGTTATTCCATTTGTTGTATAATATTATTTTGATCTATTTAGCAACAATTTCGAGGTACAAGTGCTATGCGTATAAACTTGTAAGAGGATTTGTTTAATGTAGTAATTCGAAATTCAATACCTTACAAAAACTTTATATGTTAAAGATTTTTGCTTTTATTTGTATATGTTTATTTGATGTTTAATAATATTAATACATTAAAATATTTAATTTATATTATCATATGAATATTATTTAAGTTTAAATTAAGTCACGTAAATTATAAAGTAATCCCACTAAAGCAGAATGTTTTGTCTATTTGAAAAAAAAAAAAATGTCATATTCGCTGTGACAGAGAATGATATACAAAACATGTATAGTTGGATGTTTTGTTATAATTATTATTACTGCGAGGGGGTCTTCTATCATTTATCATTGTATCGAGGGAGAAAATTATGCCTATATAAATGTAACGTACGTGATTTGGACCCAAAACTTTGTATTTGGTTTGAAAATATTAAATCCAATTGCCCTCATTATTATTACGATTAATGTCATTACTGTTGTTACAATTGTTTAAAAAACATAATGCATTGCTTAATCGTTATTGAAAATTGAATAAATTTTATGGAAGCGTCTCTATACAGTTTAAAATAATAATTTAAGTTTTAATATTGTATAAATACAGTCATATAGTAAAGCATATAAAATAATACATTTTGAAATAAATATGTCTGCATTTAAGTAACCTGTTTTGAAAATGTACGAGTATATTATGACAACCGTAAAATTAAAGTGTATGTTGCGTACTCGTATAGAATGTTGTAAAAAAACAAATAGGTGCTAAATTAATTGAATTAAACTTTATTTTCGTGTTTTGAATATTAAATAATAGTTCTAATATAAAGTTAAGTATAACTAAATAATGAATATTGTGCGTTATTTACGTAAAAAAAATACGTACATTATAAAGTATGCACTATAATAATTATGAATAAAATGTACAAACTCTTTATAAAAAACCAATACATTTACAAAATCCTTTATATAACTATTGTTTTTGATTAAAATATGATAGGTATTTATGTCTTAATTGAAAGATAAATAACTTTTTTTTACAGATATTACGTGAGATACATTAAATTTGTGTACTTTATATCTCGTACTATTATAGTACATAATTAAAATTATACAAGCCATTGATAATTTTATTTTATAATAATCAGTTAAATATCGTTCTAACAGTATTTTATTATATGATTTTTTTATTATATACATTAAATATGTAATTATTAATGTATTTAATTTCAAAATATTTATTTTAGATTGATTAATTCTGAATTAATTTTATGATACTGATATAGAAACGAATATTGTTGTTGAGCATCGTTGAATTAAGCTAGATTTTTATCCAACATTTATTTTTAATTTAAGTACATGATTAATTAACACTATAATAATTATTATGGTTAAAGAATTATCAAATAAAATCAAACTGTAATTTTTTCGTGCATAACATTTTTTTTAGTTAAGAATCTTGGTATTTAAGTAGAAATTATAAAAAGTAAATCGTGATACTTTATGATAGAAAAATATAACTATTTTTTGAGTAATATGAAACATTTAAATATCGAATAGTTTTTTTAATATTAAATAATAATAACGAAAGAGTTTTTTATTGCTTAACAGAATGAAAATATTTTTATATAATATTAATGTTCAGGGTTAGTTAAAATATTTTAATCTTTTATAATAATTATTTAAAATACAAGTAATAATCAATTTATTAAAAAACTTCAATATTAACAATTTCAATTTTAAACGTTTTGTTGTTTTTGAACTCTGTTATAAAATTTCTTGGATCAAAACTATAAAATTATTTATTATTATATATATATTTAGTTAAAATTACCGTAATCTACTTATACAATATAACATACTGTAAAATACGAATTTAATTTGTATGTATTATATTATTATACTTTTTCTTGAATAAAAGTAAACAATTGTATTCTTTATTAATTATTATTTATTAGTTATTAAAAACTGAAGTATCAGTTATGTTTATGTTTTTTGATTTAATTATGTTCAAATAACAGTGGAATATTTTGTAAAAAGTGTTATTCTATCAACTATCACACTATTTATTATATTCATAGTACGGATTATGCGTATTAATAAATAAAATTATGTTCCAAAGGATTTGTTTAAAATTGTTGTTAGTCCTGAATTCTATTGTATTTTTATACAGTCTCATTGCAATTTCACAAGAAAAAAATGTATAATGTAATAAAGAGCGTGTGTGTAATTTTGGTCAATGTGAATGTTTCTATTGTAATAACACAGAACAGAACGAGACAAAGGAAAACAGACACTACGAAAAAAATAAAATAATAATATGAACATAATGCGAATCCTCCCCCCCCCCAAAAAAAAAAAAAAAATTATAACGCTAATTGATTAAGAATTCTTTTAATGTTATAAATAATATGTAATAAGTCGATTGAATAGTGGTGCTTGAGGACCGTTAACATTTTATAGAATTTTGGATCTATATAATATATAATATATTTAGTATATTCGCGAAAACACATAGATTTGAATGTAAAACAAATCAAGTTAAATACCTAGGTTTAAAGTTGTATTTAGCTAAAACCCTATCATTAAACCGAAATAGACCATGCAAATTAATCATAGAATAATAATATATTAGAATGGATTTTTTGAATTCTTTAAACTTTAAACTTATTGAATACCTCCACTTAATTTTAGCGATTACGTTACATGTGAACTGACTTAATCATCAGAAATATACCATTATCACTTTACATTAAATATAATAAATTTATTTATTATTTAGTATTTTGTAATTTACAGGCAGGTTCTGAACTGAGTACACAAAATATTGATAAAAAATTAATCTCGATAAGATTCTATAATATTGTATACTTACATTATTACATTAAATTATGTACTCGTTGTGTCCAAAACTCATGCCTGTTGGAAAACATCTACTTGAAAATTTATCCAGGTATTATATTATTATACTTATACCTTTGTACTAACCATAGATACAGTTTTAAACTCGTTCAAATTATATTCCAGTCATTAAGTAAACAGCCCTTCATAGTTTAATATATTGTGCAAACATTATTATATCGAATTTTAATGTATAATACATAGTTTCTGTCTCTATTGTATATATAATAATAAGTAATATTGCCATGTTGGGGACATAACGTCATACATAAACCACCAACATATAATTTAAAAACTAAAAACGAAAATAATTGGAAATTTAATTCTAGTAAATGTTTAATACAGTAAGTTGAAAGTTGAATTCATATAATGAAATCATTATTGCAGTAAAAGTGTAAGACTGATAATTTATTTATTTTTCATTCCATCCATATTAAAGTGTATTTAATTATTATTAAATGTTGAGAAAAATATGTATTATGGTTAAATTATGTATATGTGCGCAACGACAATATTGAAAACGATTAATGTTAATTTTAAAAGTGATTTAAAATAAAATAAAATAAATTTTTATTTTTTGTAGGTAGTTTTTTCAATTTTTAATATCGTTATCTACCCGTAATGCGAAATGACAAGAGTGAAACGGTTTTAGTACCACATAGGTTTAACGTTAAAAGCCTTTTAGCTAAATATTTTTAGTTACCTAACTATGACATTTCTTGACTTAAAATGTTATAGCTTTTAACTTAGCCAAAAATTAACAGTTACTTAATGATATATTAATTTTATAGAATTAAAATAAAAAACTAATGAAAATAATTACATTCTACTATAGTCAATTGTTACCTATATAATGTCTATGGTTTTTATTTTAATCCATGTACCTACTAAACATTTTTATTTGATCTAATTTATTAATACTTTAGTAAGACGAATGAAGTTTAATGTGTTATAAACATTCATTAATCATTATTTATTACATAAATATTGCACACAGAATAAAAGTATTCCAGAAAATGCAAAAATCACTGTGCATGAAATCAAAATAATTTATTTCCATACTTTAATGGTTTGTTAAATTAAGATTCATGAATACTCGCACGTTTGTAAGGTTTTGGTTATTTTATTGTAATGACTAATGAGTGTCTAACTGGATATAAATTAAATGTATCTCAATACATTATATGATAATATGTTAACCAATTCTTACAAAATTACACTATAAATTTTAAAATATTTAAATAATATTCTGATTATTGTAATATAAACACATTTTTTCACGAAATATTTGTATTACTGCCTCACAAGATACTGTAACCACACGGTTGTAAGTAAACATGATCAATATAGTAGTTCAAAAATGTATTTCTCATGCTTATCTACACAATAACATATAAAGGTATCTAGCATTTGATGAGGTATCGACCGTTAACGAATTGCTGGTATTAAAACTTTTCTACGTGGACGACAGTCTCATCACAAAAATTAGCTTTTTATTAGCTTTACAATAGTAGTATTTTGTTCCGTGTAAAACCAGTAATACTGTTTTGTAGATAGTATACATACCTATCATCTATACCTTTTTACTTGTCGGCACGAATTCACTTTTTTTAAAGCAACTAAATGTTGGTATATAACAAAATATTTTTTTTAAAGTATTTCACGAAATTATAATTGATATCACAATATTATTTTTTCGTTCCACGTAAGTGAAGAGATTCGGATCTATGATATTACCTATGTATACAATTGTACGGTTAATCACATAAATGTGTTAAATATTAGTGTTTATTCCTTAGATCCTTAAATACATGTGTTAAATTTATACATTTTACAGCAACCACTTTTGAAATGTATTAAAAATACGTGATATTATCAAATATTTAAAACAAATTCAAAATATATCTAAAAATAAGGAGAACATTTTCACGAAAGTAATACAATAAAGTAAAATCATCAATTATACTACAAAGAAAATATGGTGTAACTAAAATATAAGGGAAATTGTAACCACCGATAATTAATATGTATCGTTATACTATATTATCATACGTATTTTTGAAGCTTATACTCACAATAAATTTATCGTTGTAATTTTTAGGAAATTTGTTGTGGGTGTGTGATCATAGAATTAAATTAGTGGTAATATGTTCTTATTATCTATTTGACTAATGACTGTATGAATTAAAATGTTGGACAGTTAGAAATTAATTTTTTTTTCTTATGTTTATTTTCTATTAATAAATTGCTGGAATTTTTTGCGATATAATGTAATTTATTTGAGTACTTTCAAATTGGTTAAGCTATATAGTATGACAAAGGAAATTCAATAAGATATTAGTTTTTACTCAAATAATCATATTACTGAAGATTACACATACATAATCCTAATATATTGGGAATTTTTTTTCAGGATATTTACATATTATTCAAAGGATAATCAATTTTGAAGAATTATATTTAACTGAAATAGAACATGTGGTTTTTCATGTTATTCATTTCATCGTTTTACATTTGGACATGTAAGTATTTTATTTTTTAATAACTTCGTTAATAGTTAAATATAATATTATATAACACCATTAATTTAAAAAAAAAATAAACGTTTTGAACACTTGACGTAGTGTTATATTAAATGTATCTATTAATTATTGGCAATAATAATATTTTAGTATGAATAATAATAGAAAAATAAATACATACAAATATATATATATATATTTGTTAGTATGTACATATTAGGTAATTAAATGCAAAAAAATTGTGATTTACATAAACACAGAATATATTAACTGAAATGATTATGAAATATTTTTGAGAAAATAAAAGTTTTTAATTTAATGTTTTTACGAATTATTCAGATATTGCATTAGAAATGTTGAAAATTTTACTTGTATTACTTTACTTTTAGAGAAACATTGTTATTAAATAATAATTAATAAGATAACTTTTTTACTTTTCTTTTTATTTTAACTTAATAATAATATAATATTTATCTATAATATTGTTCTGTATAGGTAATACATATAATACACATCGAGTTAAGTTTAAAATGTAAAACGGAAGTTAAGTAGACTTAGAGACAAAAAAAAATATCTATAAGATTGTTTTGAAGTTTTTTGAATGTTATAAATATACAAGAAAATATATTCCATAAAATATAATGATAAATAAAATGTATTATTAGTTTAAGTTGAAAAGGAATGTATTAATCATTATAATTTTTTAGAAAATGAAGAAGAAATGTTTGATAATATTATTGAAAATTATTCAAATTTTAAATTAATGAAAAAAACATTTTTTCTGTAAATGCTTTGTGTTTAAAACTTACTATTAATAAATGGTACGTAGCGTTATAAAATAATATAGTGGGATTTTCTTTAGAATAAAGAAGAAATTGACATCTATTTCTAACGGGAGTTATTATTATATAAATTGCTTACCCGACCCGCATACAATTGATTTGTGCTGTTAAAGATGAGTTGAGTTTTAAAACGACCGAAAATGGTTCCAACAACATCAATCACTTAAAGGATAAGGAGACCTACATGTAAAAGATTATTAGTACGACCGAAAAAAAAATACTTGTCTATAAACTGAGATAAATGTTTTAGTGTATACCGTAACAGAATTTACTATGTAATAGTATTATTATTTAATATTATAATATAACCGAATTATTTTGATGTTATTGTATATATAAAAACTAGTTATAAATTATTTAAAAAAAATGTATTGTAAATGTTTGTAAAATTTTGAAAAGAGTAATTTTGAAATGCAAAAAAATAATGTTGAACTCCTCACTTATTTTTAAAAGCTTTAGAAGTCATTACTAGAAACTAGGGAAAACGGGAAGTCTTTTATTGAACGTATTCATATTTTATGTAACATTCCGTTACGAAATATCTAACAGTTATACCATCACTAAATCACATGTATATTTCTTAAATGAACAAATACGTATAGTATAGTTTCATAAACAATATTATAGTCTAGCCGAGTGTTCAAAATTGGTAAATGTAAAAATTATCAAATAAATTGAACCCTATTTGTATTTGTTCGTTTAACATTGTAATATATTTATGCAACAAACATTTTTATGAAAATATTACTTTACATATTGGAAAATGCGAAAAATTTAAACAAGTATTTTTTTTACATATTTATCAGTGATAAAACGCTTAAATAAATAATAGTTATGTATGAGTACTAAGAAGTGTTTTTATTAAACATAATTCTATTTAAAATACGATGTTAATAAATAAAAATAATTAATAGCTTTTCAGGATAAAATATATTAATGGTAGTAACAAGACATTCAAAAGAATAAAAAACGTATTCGAGCTTTAACAGTTCATAAAAAAATTTTCTACAAGAAAAATTTGTTTTTACAACATTTTTTTGGTAGTTGTACAAAAAGTATATTTTCAGAATAATGTTGTGTTTTAAAAAGTTGCATAAGACAATATATTCTTAGTGCTTTGTAGTATCATTCCAATATTGTCAAAACTTTTTTGTAAAGCTATAAAATGTTAAATATGTCCCTTTTACATTTATTTATTCAAATGAACATATAATTTCAATAAAATAGTTGTTGAAAGGCAGATCAATAACTTTATTTTTTTTTAGTTAAAAAATATATCGATCTTTTCATTAAATTTGTTTTGAATATGTTGTCACCTTGTTTCATAAACAAAAATTTGTTAATTATGGTTTAATGTATAAACTTTTAATATTATTATAACTACCCCGACAATAATTATTTTAAAAAAATATTCTTGGTAAATACTTTGTTTATTGAATGATATTAATGTATTATTTTCACAATCAAGAACTTGACAATATTGACAATCGAAAACGTAATTTATTCTTTATTTATGCTACACGCATGTGAATTCGTGACAAATTTTGGATAGTAATAATCATGAAATTTTACTACTGAATTATTCTACATGATATCACTGTAACTGAATGCACTAAACTTACTGTTCATTTCACTTAAATCAAATGAAGTAAAGACTAATGGATTATACAGAATATTATAAATTGAGTTATTTTTTTTTTTAAGATGATATAATATTCTTATCTATATCAACGCGTATGCATATTTATTATGATATTATCCATTTTCGTTATCCTCAAAAGCGACCCTTCAAACTAGATTTGCTTAATTTGCAAAAACTTAGAACCTTTCGACCATTGCATTCATCGAATATTATATGACGCCATTGAATAAAATTTAGGTCAGTCATTATACGCAGTTTTTGTCAACGTTTTAACTGTGTAAATATATATATATATACATATATTATAATCATTAATTGAAATTAAAACTGTTTACTTGATTTTTTGCCATTGATGAATATATTTAAATAAATTTCATCGATATTACATGGGATTTAATCATAACGATACTAATATCATTCGAATATAATATTTTTGTTTGGAAGTACTTACTAAAATAACGTCCTAACTGAACAATCATTGTTAATACGTTTTTGGTAAGACAATTTAGCTAATAGCCTCAGTATGTTACTTTCGTGGTACATTATTACTATGGCGGCATCATAACGTGTTCTAAAGTTCATATTTGAGGGATTTCATAGATGTAAAACACATATACATTATAACTGCTGTGGTGAAAATGACATTGCCGTTGATCACTACACCAATAAGACAGTATAGGTCATAGCACAAAGTGAGCAGATCAATAATATATAATATTACATTTTCGTTCTAGAAACAATAACGAAGCGTAAGCTTCGAATACAATTTAATGTATATAAATAACACATAGATGGTATATATTTTTATGATATGGTGTTTGTAGATAACGGAACAACGTGGATTGGATGACCGTCGAAGATGAGAACTAGCAATAGATGATTTCTCTTATACCTATACAACAGTAATATATATAGGCGAATATAGTTTGACGTTGTCAAATAACCAACATTTTTTCCGATATAATTTAGCGCGATTCCAATAGAATACACCGTACAAACGGTAATTTGAAAACGAATAGTTCTATTCTTTTGAACTCGATGATATAATAATATTATTTGTACAGTGTATTATGTAGTGGCCCGGTAAAAACCGTTTGGGGAAGAGGAAAAAATTATCTGCTGTTGCTACGATGACATGCACTGATGTAACGTGTCACCGCTCACGTCCGGAAATGTTCATCGGATCTCACCTATTTTTACTTTTCATTTTTTTTATCGCACACGACGTGATGTCGATGAATGTGTATCTATAATACGCGTATATAGAATATATATTATAATATATTATTATATGATACAATGATATTATACGTTTTATATTTCCGTCAGTGGAAACGAAATATACGAACGCTCGGTAAGCGGTGTTCACTTTCTTCAAATAAAACATATCGTAATAAATTGCGCAGTATATTTTACGCGGTATCAACGTTTTATTAGATTATTATGCGTTTCGTAACGGTGAATTACTGTTTCATCTAAATATTTTTTAATTTAATATTTTTATTGTAAAATAAAACTGATGTTATATATTAATAAACAAAATGTTTTTTATGTTTTCTAATGTCATGTATAATTATTTTTCGTGTATAAAACAATACATTTTAGTCAAAATTATTAATATAGTTAATATGACCCTTTATTATTGTTGTTATTTTTTTATCTATTTAAAAACTAAAAAATATTAAATTACATATGTCTTATAGAGTATAATAATAATAATTATTACTAATGCCAAATATTATTTATTCCTAATGTAATAATTGTAGGAATAATCAATTTTTAGCATAAAAACTCTATGGATTTGAGACAAAACAAAATATACACACGAACGCGTTATAGTGGATATATTTACCCGATTAACATAATGGAAATGACATGAATAATTCGTGATGCGGCGTGTTGACATGATGATTCAATATTGAAACGATGTCAATTTGTCTTGTTATACAATTAGTAAAAATCAATGAAAAATCCAATTTTATTTTCACTTCACGTACCTCGGGAATTAAATAAGTAATTTAAGAAAATCTAAGTTTAGCAAACGAAACATGTACGCGTATCTTATACCGTAGAAAAAAAATTGTGTTTGTTTAACTACATTTTCTGTTTTATTTTTTATTCCTAAAAGAATATCCTAGAAGAATGTACTCGTATACTAAAGTTTATTGTTATATCATAACAAATACGCATGGTCAACGGGTGACTACATGTATATATATTTCATTATCTTATTTTAAGGTAAACACTTTTAGAACCAAACAGATGTTCTACAACGGTTTTTGGTTGTATTATTGTTGTGAACGAACAAAAGCACAACCTTTTTGTCGGTTCACAGTTTATTATGGAAGTCCAAATGAAAGCTGTTCAGGCGATCACGCTTATATACACGATGAAAACGGATATCCGACGGTACACCAGATCTTCTGGTGTCCCGATTTTTTTCTCGATAGTCATTTTTCCTCTCCATCTACGAATAGTATCACAAGATAAAACTCTATTAAAACTTTACACCTTTG